TTAAGTTGTAACAATATTGGCTGTCTTTACAGTGTGGAAGGAAAAATATTTCCTGTTATTTATTAGCAGCTTAGCTAATATTATCAACTAAGTCATACAGTCATGAAAGCTCTTGGCTAGAACTGTGTCTTGCAGCATTTGTTCATACAAAACATTTTTTCTAGCATTGGGTACAAGACCAATTTTTAATGAATATTATGCTCTGGCCCTGACAAATTCTTTATGTTCACTGTGAGACTCTCAGTGTTAAAACAGAGAGGGCTTCACAGATATTGCTATTGATCAGCTGACTGGGAGGCCATGTGCTGGCCTGAGCTCACCTCACAGTGTAATTGCCTTTCTCTGTGTGCCATCTTACAGGGAAGCCACTCTTTTAGAAAGGCAGTGAACAAATGAAGGGTGAAAAGTCACCCTTTGTGTATGTTTTCCTCACCTGGGCAGCACCATCATTAATTTTGCAAAGTTCAGAGCACTTCTCTCTGTGGCTCAGCAATGAAGACAGCTGGATGAGCAAAGACAGCTTGCATATGGAGCTCTTTCTTCCTGCCCTGTGGCTTCAAGTTATCAGCTGTGTGGTGAAAGATAGTTTTCTTTAAACATCATGTATCCATTTCTGTTCCCTTCCAAATGGTTCTTTTCCTCTGCTTCTTTCCCACAAGTCCAGAGAATGTGAGGGGAAAAGTTTTATTTGAGATTGAGCTGACTACTTAAGGATGAGCTACCATTCAGGAGTGCCAGTGAGATGCTCTCCTCCATCTTGCGGACTTGTCCCTGTCAGGAACAGAACAGGAGCTGGCTTATCACCAAACTTCTCCCCTTGTAGCTGCTGTGTGCTGGAGACTGCTGCCCTGGCTCCCTGAACAGATGCTGCCTGGCAGTGTCTACATAGCAGAGATGGTTGGGTGAGATGGAGGCTTCTTCCACTTAAGTCCAAGAGCCTCATTTCTCCCCAAGTAAGGGAGGTACAGTCTATTTGTAGTATGCAGACGCAGCCTGAAAAACATACAGCTGTCACCAGCACTGTTTGATTCCATGTCCCCACCCAAATGCTTTGTGAGCTGAGCTCCCTGCACTAGCATTCTCTTTTTTTTAGCAACCTAAACCAAGGCCTGGCCCACCCAGTTTCAGCAGGCAGGAAGGATAAAACATCCTGAGAACCCTGCCTCGCTGCAGGGAGATCATATGTTGATCATGTGAGATCATGACGTGCTCAGCACAAAGATGTTGCTGTGTTTTTATTGCAGCCCTGTTAGAGCTAAGCATTCCAGATGTATGTCTCCTGCTTTAGTGTAAATATGTGCACTACTAGCACCAGGGTGGAGGCTGTCCTCCTATATCTAAAAGAATGGGGGGGAAAAAAAGTAATCCTAAATAATGCTGTGTTGCAGCTAGTAAAAATCTTGAAGCAAAGACTCTTGGCGTTTGCAGTGGAAGGTTGCTGGTTGTAGAAAGATTCTCCCACTGCTGTATGCATTCTCTTTGGTACTGAGTGTGGCAGGGTGTTCAAAGCATGGTACCTTTTGCTTCTTACAGATGATGAAGCTCCATGCTTACTAGAGAAGTCATATGTGATTGCTGCTGACACTTTGAGACACTTTGACACACTTTGAGAGCAGGGACAAAGTGCTGGGACACTTTGAGAGCAGGAAGGAATTTGGATCAGTCTGCCAGAATAAACCTTCTCTGAGTACTGGAGCTGGAGGCACAGGCAGTTTTATGCAGCCAGGGCAACACTGTTCTTGCTGGGTATGGTCTGGTGCACCTCTGCATAGCATGGACTGGGGCAGTGAAATGCAACAGGTCATGGGTTGTGTCCCTCACAGCCGTGTTAGTGGTTACTTGTATGGTGTCTTTGCTCTATATTCCCCGAGTCTGGTATCTCTGTAGCAGGACTGTGACTTGGCCTTCAGTGTGGTAGGAAGGTTTCTGAATCCATGAGACTGCAGGATCCACTGGGTTAGTACTGAAGAGCTGTTCTTTTTTGCTGTCCAGGAGTTCTAACATTGGTATTTCTTTATTTGTTGCTATAGCCTTTAATTTTCCTTGTTCCTTTCTAGATGGATGAGAATAATATAAATTTCTGATTTTTCCCCCCCTTTGTTTACCTGAGATTAGTTCTTTGTCATTTGTAGGAGCCTCAGCCTACATAGGGAAGTGCTTAAAGGTTTAATTTCCAGCATTTTTGATTCTCATCTTACTGATGAGAATCTCACCACTACTTTCCCTTTCCTGATTTAGAAACTAGAGCTTTGCTCAAGATCATATCCACTTCCATTTCCTTGTGTCTCCTTCTTCATACAGACTAACAACAACCTGAAAATATTTTTGTCCTTTCATAAACAGATTGTTAATTTCATCATTCAAATTATAAATAAGTATGAAGAAGAAGAGATATTTAGTTAACTAGCTTTGTAAAGCAGTTATGTTAAACAGAACACACAAATACCAAATTACTTTGCTTTCTGGGGTCATCTTTCATCCCTTAGAGATGTATGTAAATCCAAAACCAAATTCTTAGGAGAGATATTTTTGTTAATTGCCCAGTTCTTCTCCCCGTTTTTATTTTGCCTTTAATGAGACTTGCAACTTGGTCTCTAAGCATGTGTTACTGTCTGTACATGAATAGTCATCCCTGAAGTAATGGGAAGAAATCTTCAGCTAGTGGGTATTAGCACAGCTCTGTGCTGGGCGAAGATGAAATCATCTGAAGATGATTTGAGTCATCCAACTGAGCCTATCAGTTTCTGTTGTTGCACTAAGTCCTACCCAGGTAATTAATTAGAGCAGCAGCTGATTGTTCTTGCTTCTCTGTGTTTCAAGGACTGCCCAAGGAGAGGTTAAATACTATGGTGATGGCACGGACTGTGGGCATGGCCATGTCTCAACAGCGCTTACGGAAGAAAACGAGAGCTGTCCTGGCAAACATGATGGGGAGGAGTCACAAGGGTTGCTGAAGCAATTCTTGTGACACATTAGTAGAGCAGGATCTTGTTAATGGATTAGTGTTTAAGACAATTTTTCAGCATTTTGCAAGTCAGGGCAGTTCTAGATGATGTTCATTTCTCAACTAGGAAAGAGATTGACAAGGCAGCAGGAGGTTCCAAACAGAAAAATTTCTACACAGTAATTTAATAAGGAGGAGAGTTTTTTTAGGATTATCCTAAATGAGAGACTGATTAAATGCTGCTTGACTCAGAGCCTAAGGTGAAACTGTACGGTTTGCTCTTGAGAGCACAAAGGAAGCAGAACAAAATGGAAAAAAAAGTGAATGTTCACAGAAATAAAAAATCACGTCTGTATCCACTGGCTTTGCAATACATGAGTTCAATAAAGTTCATACTACAGCAGTAAAAAAGGACAGCTGAAAATTTAAGTCGACTTGCGCTGTAAGCTCTGCTGTAAGTAATACGCAGTTTCTACACAAGCTGTTGGCACTTCTTGCTGCTGAGCAGAATCCTGGCTATTCTGTAGCTTGTGCTGATACAGTTTCTAGCACAGCAACCTATCCTGTTAGTGTTTTGTTAGGGACAAGTCAAAGCAGTGTTCTAAAAGGAGGAAGTTATCAAGTTCTTTTCAAAGGCTGAAACAGCACTTACCTTTGTTTGCTTATGGCTTGCTTACTGTATCCTTTATGCAAGGATAGAGAATGAAGTCATAGGATGTGGGATTATTTAGGTGACACTAAAGGTGACACTAAATGTATCAGAGCATTTGTGAATGACACAGGATGGTGAGCTCTTTATGGGGAAACTCCAAGCTCTGTGCATGCCCTGTAGGAAACTTTCAGGCTTAAGATAAAGCTATGAACCTGCTCTGGAATCAGTCACATGTCTCTCCCTTCATGGATTTCCTTCTCTCTCTGTAACAACTGAACCAAAGTGACATATATGCCTTACTACCATAGGGTGTTCCTGCTCAGACATCACTAAAATTTTTTTTAAAGTCTAGCTTTGTGTTGAATTTCTTCCAGCTTCAGTTCCTACAGTTACTGGTGCTTGAGGGCTATGTACATTCTCATGTTCAGAGGAACTTGACATCAGCAAGATTATCTTGTTTGGACATTTCAAGTAGACCAAGATTCAGGCTAGAACAGATTCCCAAGGTGGATTGAAGGCTTCAAGTTCCAAGCATATTTGGACTTGAATTAAACAGACTATTAATGAAAATAAACTTGGCAGCAAGTCCTCTGGCCTTGGTAATCAATCAAGACCTGATGACAGCCCCAGCTATCGTGGTGCAACTAAGTGAAAAAGCAAAATGTGGGTGAAGGTCCTTATGTATTGAAAACTTCTTTTGTTTCCCAAAGTTTCATAGTGAAAGCTATTCTCTCAATAAAATGAGAAAGGAAAGGTTTAGTAGTTATTTTTTGTGTGGGTCTGATAAAGGATATTCCTTTTTGTGAAAGTACACTCAAACTATTGCCAGTTTCTAAAGTGTGTTGGTTGTATACTCTTCTTTTTTCCTCAAACAGAAGTTTGAATATACCTTTCCTGAACACTTTAAAATAATGATTTTAAAATATATTTTTTGCTTAATATTTAAAATATTGGTAATGTGCTACTGTGCAACTAAGATACTTGAGTGCAACCATGAGAAAAGCATAAACTATGGAATTTGAATTTGCCTTTGTAATGAGTAACAAGAGAGCTGTGTTGCAAACTTTTTGGTGACATTATTATACAGATCTTACCTTTTCCATTCCAATTTTCCTATCCCATAGGCAGCCTTTCTTTCTTTCTTTCCCAACTGTGGCTGTAGACCACAACTCTGACACAGTTAAAATGCTCTGTGCTGAGGACTGAACTCTCTAAACTTGAGGCTACAAAGGTGTGGTGAGGTGTGTACCTCAAGAGTTGTAATTGTGTTGACTTTTTCTTGCAGGAAAAGGAATTTGTCAAGCAGGAGCCTCTGTAGATGCAAATATTCTTTCAGGAGTTTTCTATTCTAATGTTAACTTAGAATTCTTATGAATAAAGGATATTTTATTTCCTTGGCAGGTGTCTTGATAACTGTTTTGGAGGTTTTGGAGGAGAAAAGATGAAAAACATACTTGGCTCATCAATCACTGATGCATTAATGTGTTCTCAGTGTCCCCATGTGAAAGAAAAAAGAACTTTCTGCCTTGACTTCAGGTAAGTGCCTGTTGTATACCATACCTCACCTGCCACATTTTGGGAGAATCTAAGAAAATAATACGGTATGTCTGAAATTAATTTCAAAAACAAGTGGCAAATTTTGGTCATGTGCAAGACATGAGCTGCTTTGCTTTAAGCTCTCTCAGATCAGAAACTCTGTCCAGCTAAACTGGGAGGCCACAGCCCCTTTCTGGAGTCTGATGTGTCACCAGGTGCAGACCACACAGAGAGGGCAGCCTGTGGCCAGGAATGCCTTTTGCTGCAGAGCACAAGCCTGTCTGTACCTGGAGCCTAATGTGCTGTCAGGTGCTGAGAATGTAGTGCCTGGCAGTCAGGCTAAATGATCCCTGTAGGACCATTCCCATTGAACGATTCTGATGAGAAGCATGCCATGGTTCCTCAGCTGTCTAAAAGGAAAGACACCAATATGTCCTTCCTGTGGCTCCTGGTCAAGGTGGATCAGACCACATTTTGCTCAGAACACCGATGGGGAAAACATAGATTCCAAGCTGTTGGTTGTTCTATCAAAGGTTAATAGTACTTTGTTATTGCTGTGAAGGAATGCCTGGCAGCTAAATGAACTAGGTTCTTGTGGAGTAATCAGTGGAGGACACCTAGAGAATATGAGATACAGCAGTCAGATTATGAGAGTTCAACTTCTTGAGAGTGTTTTTTAAACTTCCAGTGATATGAGTCAGGAAATTCTTGGATCACAAAGCTGAATCATCACGTTAAGAATTCAATGTGGCATTTTCTTCCAGAAAACTGATTATTCCATTTGAATGTGCAAAATAGTTGACATTTTCCATACACTGAAGCAAAGAGTCACATACCTGACCTCTTTTTTTATATGTCAGAATTTTCTTGTGCCTATTTTAAAGTAGCCACTCTTGTTTGAAGTCCCCTAGTAATTGTATGAGGAGAAACAGTGAACAGTGCTTTCCTGTTCACTTTCACTATTCCACATGATACTCTCTAGACCCCCATCCCTTTCTATACATTTGTCAGGTTATACAATCTTGCCTATTTGGGCATACCATACATAGAAGCTGCTTTGTTCCTTTGATCAGCTGTTCTGCTTTCTTTTACTGTTTCTCTTATAAGCTTTTATTTCCTTTTGCTTCTCTACTCTCATTACAAATAGTTTCCAGCATTCCTTTTTCCTTTTTGGGTTTCCTTTTTTTTTTTTTCTTTTTTTTTTTTTTCTGACTGCCTCTGAGTTTATATTCTCACAGGAAATTGCCTCAGTCTTATTTCTGAAAGGAATAATAATTCAACTCCTGACACCTAGGGGGTATCATTAAGAATATTTTTTTTAATATGTGTCACTTCATACTTTTTAATTCCAATTAATAAATTGTTTTATTACATAGTATCTCAAAAATATGTTTCTGCAGCATGCTGTAGTTTTTCTCTCTACTGTGATAACTGGACAGTTATTGTATGATTATCATCTCAGTATTTCTTTTTTCCAGACAATATATGAATATAACAGAAATTCCTATGATAATGAGCTGGCTTCAGAAAAAGCATTGTCATTTATTTATTTTATTTACTTGTTCCAAATGGATTTGTTGTTTTTTAGATACCATTATGTTTGGCTTTAGTCTTCCTCAAGGCTGTTTTATTTTCCTTTACCAGGTAGGATGCATTTACTCTAAGACTAACATTATTTCTTGAACTAGTCTCTCTGTTTCCAGAAAACAAGCACTTTAAGGTATGTCTTTTAAGGGGTTTTATAATTTTATATAATTACTATCTTTTAAATTCAGCATGCCAGTAGTTGATCTGGTATTGGGTATCTTTAGAAATGCTGAATCTGATGCTGATATAGTTCAGACAGAAAGATGATAAACTAATTGTTTAAACTGGTCAGGACTGAATCAAGAGTTGCTTCCAATTTTGTGGATTTCCTATCTGCCTGTTATTGAAACAGTTATTTACAACCTCCAGAAATCCAGTATTGTCTAAGTAATCAATATAAAAGGTTTCACATTTTACTTAAGAGTAATTAAAATAATTGGAATAACAGTTCCTGGGATTCCCACATTCCATTGCCTTCCTGCCCCCATGTTTCCTTTATACATGCAGTGTCCGAGTCCTTTTTTAGGGTAAGTATTCTGCGTCTGTCATCAATGTCTTGGAGAATTCTGTGGAATGTGGAAACCATGGTTTTGGCTCTCTGTCTCTGCATCCTGTTCATATCAGACTTTTAAAAACTTTTTCTTTTACTATGTTACTTTCGTGTAACTTCTATTGCATTTTTGCTTGAGTTTGCAGTGTCTACCACGGGATTTAGAACAGGATATGTTGTTTCCTGTGGGCACCAGTCTGCTTTCTACTTGTCCATTTGAAGTTTCTGTATAGTCCTGTTTCCCTCTCATTTCAAACAGAAATTTGTTCATCCTTTGCTGGGTTTAATCCACTCTGGAAGCTCCCCAGTCTCTGGTGAACCTGAGCCTCACTTCCTTACTCCGTTGCTATAGCCAATCATTGAAACTTTGCCTCCTCACCAGCTGGATTCTGCTGGGGGTCTTGATCTAAGGCATTTTATATTCAGCCTCCAGGATCTTTCTTCTTTCTCTTATGTGGTACCCAGGTGGGCTACAACCCATGCCTCCTTCCCAGCAGTTCCTAACCTTTCCAGGCTTTTTTTTTTTCTTTCTCCAAGCGTTGCAGTATAACACAAAAGGGCACGTAAGAAGATTGTCTCTGGAATCAGGAGCCAAACCTGTTTGGTATCTGGCAATGGAATGGAACCACTTGTGGCTATTGCCTGTCCCTTTTTCTCATATGAGTTTTTTTGCTGCAGGGAATTATTGCCAGTGAAAGAAGAAACTCAGATACCTTGTAGAGAGCAGGGACTATTGGCCAGGATTATCACATTATTTAGCAATTTAGTGCATTCCTGCCATGAAATCAGGCCTGGAGGAGCTTTTCAGTGCCCTAGAAAAGCATCCTCTGTTTAACCTCTTTCTTTAAGAAGCAATAGGGTTTTTTTTCCTGCAGGTGAGACTATACAAGGATTGCCATGAGGGCTCTGTGTTGTACATTCTTCCACCTATGGCACAATCAAGTCACAAGGCAGAGCTCTATGTCTGAGGATCATGGGGTGCCTGGAATTAATGTCTTTGCATCACCTGTGCTCAGGTCAGGTAATCATGTGGCACTTGATACTTTACCCTGGAAATTGTCACCCTCTAGCTAGGCTTCTGACTGCATTTTGCTTGCACATCTGGACTGACTCAGGTGTTCCTATATGGGATAGCAATGCAGCTTCCAGTTAAAGAATTGAGAAGCAATTACATTAAATGTGTCATTAACAACTGTATTCGTCATGTTTTGTAACAAATTATGCTGAGACATTGAATCCAAATCACAAGAAGCTGAGGCTTATCTTTAGCTCGTGCTTCACTCAAAGGAAGCTCGCATTCTCTAACAGGCATCTTCCTGTTACTTGGCTATGGACTTGATGTCAGGTGGAAGGAAGAGCTCCAGCCATGTAAGGTGTATTTGCATCAGCGTGTTACTAAGCTGGTGATCCCTGAGCTGCAGAGGGGTCAAATGGAGGTCATTAAGGTGGAGGAAAAGAGTCCCTAGAGGTTAGAAAGTTTATTGCAGTAGAGCAAAGAAAATGTGTGCCACTCGTATCTTGTTGTGAGGTCTGTCTTCTTTATTGTCTTTCTGAAACAAATCTGTGTGTCAGGCTATGTGGTCACATACTTCTTCTAGTAAGTTTAGTGGTACTGAGAAAACTTAAAACTTCTTAAAACTTTAAAACTTAAAGCATTTCTGAAGATTCAGAAATTTTACTTTAGGTTAGAGTTTGAGCTTGTGATGATTGTTTGTCAGCTAACTTGCCGTCACTAGCACAAGTAGAACTTCTTATTTACAACTTGAAAATATTTATATCACAAATATTTATGACACAGCAGAATTTTTTCAGGACAGAAATGTATGTGTAGTTAGGTGACCACAATTAAAATTATAATCTCAGGAGTTAAAGAAGAATGAAAAAATTGAATTCAGCTGTTGTTATGAGGCAGATTCTTTTCTGGCCAAATGACCAATTTCAAGGAATTTCAAGGGAGTTAAGAGGCACATACTTTTGATTCTGCATCAGTTTGTCAGCTCCATACCTGATCTAGGACTGAATGTTATCTCTTGACCATGCAAATTTTCTGCATTGATCCTTCCCACAATTTCTGATTTGTTCTTAATTATACCAAAGAAGGAAATAAACTCTGCATCCTTGCAAAATTTTCATGGCTCTTCTGATTTGGGGTGTTGCAGGGTGTAGCTAATGCTCTGAAAAGGCTTCGGGATTCCTGGATGAAAGGTGTGATGAAAGAAGTGTATTGTTATTGTTTTAGGGGAGGAATCATGCTACTGGGTAAGCCTCTGTCACTGAGACTTGCTGGACTTGTTTGTTCTGACTTGCCTATGACTCCTTTCTTTCTTAATTCGGGAGATAAAGCCTCAAGTCTATGCTGAGATGCTGCACAGTGTGTTGTGGTGCTCGGGACGGTGGATCTCCCAGAGAGAAGAGCTTCTTGCTGACTTCTCAGTCGTACACAGAGGTGAGTGCCATGAACTTCTGGCTTGCTTCTTGGTGTTTTGGGCAGCATGGCTACATCGTGTGTAGATTTATACGGCAGTTTGAGCTTTGACCAAAGGTGTGGGAAGAATGGCACTGGTTCTGAGCTTGCTTCTGATTTGATCTGCCTTTCATGCATCAGTAATCCTTCTGATATTTCAGCCTTTCTCCTCACCCAAAATGCATGTTTTCTGAGAATTCTCCAGCTCATCCACAGCACGGTATGGCAAATCAAGGTGGCCTGTGTGGAGGGCAGGTGAGAGTCATCTCACGCTGCCCTGACGTACCGTTTGTGCTAGCACAGTTAGAATTTGTTGTGGGCACAACTGCTGGATGAGAGGACAAGCAGAGTACAGGTGCAAGTAGTTTCTTGTGCTTTTGATTATTTTAATGGACTTTGTATGCAGCCAGTGAAGTGTTAATCTGTGCAGAATCAGCTTGGAAACACACCAGATCTGGCACCTGACCATTTCGCCCGCCCTGCATTGGAACGAAAATCAGACTCAAAACCTTCAGAGACTGTAACTGCTTGTGTGATGTCTTGCTTATGGAGTGGATTTCAAGAAATCAAAGGACAAAAGGAGGCAGGCAGAGCTATTTTTGAGGGCTGAAAAGCAGAGATCTACTGCTATCATCTGTGACTGCCAAACTAACAGAGCAAGATACTTGTCTATGACCAACACAGCTGGAAGGGAAGATGATGTTAAAGTTACAGAAATTTATCCTAAACTGATTGCAGTCAGTGGCCATGTACTTAACATTTTCTTTACACTGAGATGGCCTCTCAGTGTTCATGCAAATTGTAAGTCTTTATGTAGTGAGTAGTCCTCCTACTTCTGCTAAAACTTGTTTCAGAACATGAGAGTCTCAAGAGGTTGGCTGTGGCAGTCAGCTGTAGAAAGACAAATAAGTGATAAAGGATATCTCATTCCTTGGCATTACACTTACATCTCACAGACTGTTTTAGTGGTATGGGAGGCTACCTCTTCCCCAACGAGTAAAGAGCTCAAAACTTCCAGTCATGTGCAAAATGGATGAGGGAGTGAGGAACAGCAAACCTTTTGTGCTGATTGCAGAGGTGATTGGATAACCAGGAAAGCCTGTATGAGCAGCATTTTGGCATCATGGATATAGTCGTTGAGAAGCTTTGAGTTAAGACATCCCAAAGACTGAATGCTGCCCTTGAATCTTGAAGCAAATGACAAGAGCTGTGTTTGGAGCAGTTGTCTTTACCCAGCTGAAGTGTGCTCTGGGGAAGCAGCAAGACCTTGGTAAAATTGGATGGTTAAGGGGAGGAGCTCAATTAGTAAGTGGCAAATACATTACTGATGCTTTATCTGACTGCAGAGGGGTGGCATGCAGCACCTACTGTTTTTGTGGGCTGTTCAAGGGTGTGGGGAGATCAAGCTGATTTAGTATGACGCATAGAAAAACGCACACTTCACTTCCCTCAGCAGATACCTCCAATGTTTGGAAGTCTTTCATTGTATCAGAATGCTTTAGGAGATATCAAACATTGAGTAATTGAGGCTGGTAGGTAACTGACCTCATCCAAAAAAAGGGTCTGGCAGTACTTAGGCACCAGCTTCTTCTGCTCCAGTTCTCAAAGCAGCTGAGGTTGTTGTCCCATTCTTTTAGAAGTGCGTGTCCTGAGTATGCCACAAGAGCACAGGACAAGTGCTAGGCTGGTGTGGTTGTTTGTGGTAAAGGTGGGAGTGAAATTACCAAGTCTTGCTTTGTGTCCCTCTGCTTTTTCTATAGGCCTCCTGAGTAAGCCAGATGTATCCCATTTGCTGCCATTCCCAACCACCCTGCCAAGGTAGATAGCTCCAGGGACCTAGTCTGGGTTTTTAAATCACACTCACCAGGTCAGCAGATTACTCTGTTCATTTGTCTTGTGAAAGGTCCTGTTTCTAGAAAGAATGATTGTAGGCATGTACCTGAATCCATCAGCTGGGAAAACTGGTCATGACTATAAATGTGGAGAGACCCTCCCCATCAGATGTGCCACCCAAACTCTGCCACTGCCTCTTCTGAGAATACTGGATTATCAGTTGGCAGGGGTATAATAACAAAAAATATAATAATAAATGTGTTATAGAAAGCAGCAGATCACACAGAAGAGGTTATTGGTTTTTTTTTTCCCTATGGAATAAGGCAAAACATTTTCAGTAAAGAGTTGGTACAAGAAAACATGGTTTGGATTAATCTAAAAGCAAATCTAGTTTGGGATGCTATGAGGTCTTAGCTTAAGAAGTCAAAAAATATCAAGGGCAGATCTATAAAGCAGAACAGGGGGGCTGTTCCCTGCTTATCCAGAAATTCTGTGACTAGGGCTACATGACAAAGTTACACTTTCTTTTTTTGTCTGAACAGATGGGTTCTGATTAGTTTGCTGGCAGTACTTTTGCTGAAGCTTTTGATAACACACAGTAACAACCAGAAGAGATGGATAATCTCAATATAGTGAAACAAACCCTGTCAGGCAGAGGTGGGAGCTGAACTTGCATCACTTGTATTGTGAATGAATATAGTAACCTTCTAGGAAGTTTGGTACAGGTTTAGAGGAAAACCAGCTTACCACCTGTGTATTGTGCTTGTCTTTCACTTTTGGGTAAATGTTCCAAATTCAAAGGTAATGAATTAATTTGGGGCTGATCAGAAGTCCAACCTGAAATCCTCTGTGTTTTCTCATTGGTTTCACAAGGAAGACCAATTTTAGCTCTGTAAAATTTTGGTATAACTCTTTTTCTTTATATGCCAATAACAATTAATGTTGCTTTATTTCTTCCTGTATTTCACTTATTAAAATATCTTGTATCGAGATTTGATTTAATATATCTGTTTCTAAACACAACTCTAGTGCATTTTGAATACTTAATTATATTAAAATATATCTATTTTCAAAATAATTCTTTTGGATTTTTTCTTTTCAGTACAAAATAACTTTTTAGTGATCACAGTCTTTGTCTCAGAGCCAAGGTGTGTAAACTAGGAGATTTAATAATTTGCTCTTCCCAACCTGAATTAGCTGTGATATGAACTGGAGAGATGCTGCTGTCTTTGCGGATTATCTTGGGCCCCTTAGGAATGACTCATATTTTAAATGAGAACACGGATTGCTGGAGGAGGTTTGATGTTCACTGATAGCATTGCCAAGATAAGCAGGCCTGTACTGAATTAAAGGATCTTGGGTTTGAAACTTCTCACTAATTCACTGCAGACTGAAAGCTGTCAGCTACCACGAGGAGGTGGTTTTAAGAGCAGAGAGGACTTGGCCTTTGAGATCTCCCAGAGGTGTCTGGGTCTGATCTCTTGTTAGGGTTTGCTCCTGTGGAATTTGAGTTACCTCATGCTGAATTCCCCGTCAGCCCTGCTAAGAGTTAATTTGCAGCTTACTGGAGTTTGGGCAGTAAAAAAATCAAATCCTGTGATATAAGGAAACAAGAAATGTGAGGCTGTGTGAAACACCAAACTCTAGAAGGCATCACAGAGACAGCTGTGGTATTTGGGGTCTTCTGAGGAGAACACCTGTCCATTAAATAATGTCTCTTTGCTACAGAAAGAAAGGAAGGATGTATCCATGGGGGAAGGCTTTCATCAGCACTGCAGAGGATCAGTGTTTCTCTGGCCATTGAGTGTTGTTGGGTGGAGCAGAATTTGCTTGGTTACTAGAGTGCGGAGAAGACCATGTCTAATTCCTAAACAGGGGGATCCACCTGCCACTAAATTATATAACTACGGAGCAGGATGTCCCAAGCACAGGAATCTCTGTCAAGGTGGTTATTCTGGTAGTCCTGCCCTCCATGGCACTATAGCAAAGAAGGTTAGGGGAGTGAAGAGCTGGTTGGAGGTGTAAAGTGTCTGCATAATGAAAGCATTGAGTGGCTATAACCTGAACTGGCTCTCAGTAACCATCCTAGCCACTGCCTCAGCAAAGCTAGGCATGCCTAGTTGTGAGATAAAACAGACAAAAAACCAAACAGCAAAACATGGGGGCTGCTGAGCTGGGTCCCACACACAGACATTACAGTTGAAAGTTACTGGTAACTGTACACTGTGTGAGTTGATGAGTCTTGGTGCTTCCATTGCAAAAGTTTTTTTGTTTTTTTTTCCTATTCTGTTACTCAGCAAGATGAAAGTCAAAACTATCCTGCTAAAGGGAGGAAACAGTTTTGGTTTTGAAGAGATATTTTCACTTCAGTTTGTATATCCTGTATACAAATTAATTACCTGTATGTGGATGTTGGTTGACACCTCGTGGGTGTTGGTGGATGAAAAGCTCAACATGACCCAGCAGTGTGCACTCACAGCCCAGAAAGCCAGCTGTGAGTTGGGCTGCATCAAAAGAACTGTGGCCAGCAGTTTGAGGGAGGTGATTCTACTCTGCTCTTGCAGAGTACTGGAGTACTCATCCAGCTCTGGATAAGCTGAACATAGGAAGGACACAGACCTTCTGGAGCAAGGCCAGAGAAGGGTTGTGAAGATCATCAGAGGGCTGGAACAGCTCTCCTGTGAAGACAGACTTGAGAGAATTGTGGCTGTTCAGCCTGGAGAAGAGGAGATTCATGGGAGATACTGTGAAGAAATTCTTCACTGTGAAGGTGGTGAGGCATTTGAACAGGTTTCCCAGAAAAGTTGTGGATGCCCCATGCCTGGCTGGAAGTATTCATGGCCACACCTGGTGGGGCTCTGAGCAACCGTGTCAAGTGCAAAGTGTTCCTGCCCTTGGCAAGGGTGTTGGAACTAGGTGATTTCTAAGAGTCCATTCCAACACAAACCATTCTATGATTCTATGATATTAATGCTTTAAATCTTTTTCTTAAAAAAAAAAAAAAAAAGTGAAATCAGTATCAGAAGTGTCATAGGGATTTAGTCCTTATCTCCCATGTTTCCATTTCCCTGAGCACTACAGCACTTCCTAAGGTTTCTGTTTCCCTTTGCAAGTCTGTGTGACTTATGGAGAACAAGCAGTTCTGAAATATTGGAGGAGAAAGAGGTCTGTGCTGCCAGTGTTTGTGGCTGTAGCTGGTATTTGCACAAAAAGGAGACAGAAATAGAGACAGATGGCTGGAAGGACAGTGCTGCCTGTGAGAGCATGAGTCTCACAGGCAAGGAGATGCTCAGTTCCTTTAATCTTAAGCTTTGTAGCTTTGGCATAAGGCCATGTTTTGAGGAAACCTGTCTGGAGACGGTTCAGAAAATGCAGCAGTTATGATCCAAGAGCACAGTTGCCTCAGTATCTGCAGAGTCAGCCATACACTGCCAGGGCTGTGCTGTGTGTTCTATGTGCCAAGAGCAGTGGAGGGTTGGTGCTCCAATTGCCCCAAGGAGTGGGGACAGTTGCAGGACAGGGAACAGGTCTGATTGAGGTGGATGAGAGGGGCTCAGGCTGGAAGCAAAAGCTCTTCAGTGAGGAGAGCAAAGCAAAATGCAAAAGCTGCCTCTCTCAAGCATGAGATGTGGCTACTGAGGAGGGACAGAGGCGTGTTGCCATAGTGGGCTGTTCTGATTAGCCAAGAGGCTTGCCCTCAAGAGTAATAATTGACTGCCCATGAGGTATGTTGCAATTCTGTGGGACTGGGAAATGTGTGAGATGGGTATGGGAGTGTTTCATGGAAGGCTGCAGCGTATTGAAGAAACTGAGGCAGAACAGTTCCACTGGTTTTAGGTTTTTATCTGAATGTCTTTTTCTGCTAAATTCTTGGAGCTGATGGACAGTGTATACAGTGCAGGTCTAGGTGGCGAGAAGTCAAGGCCCCAGTGAAGCCAGTTGAGTTCTGGTGGGTGTTATTTATGTGCTTATTGCAACTTGTAGTTTGCAAAGGAGTAATCTTGGCCAGCCTGGGTTTTCAGCCTCCTATCAACTGCCCTATAGCCTCGATATCAGGAAACTGAGCCAGTCTGGTGGGGAAAACTTGGGCTGTGCATTGCAAGAGCAGAACTTGCCCCAGTAAAGCAGGAACCACAGAAGGAGAGGTACTGGCTTTCTCCATAGCATGTGACTCTGAAGCAGAAGACTTGATCTTAGTCACCTGTCCTATATATTTTGGTAATGCTAAGCTGCTGCTTGTGACTACCTGCAGTTGTGATGCTGGCTGAAGCTCCTCGATTTTAACATTTTCTTTCCAGTATGCCACCTCTTTGAATAGGTAAAAAATTTGCCCGTTTGGCTAGCACTCTCACTAGCCAAAACCAAGATTTTATATGAGGAGATTAAACTTTAAGTTTCTTCCAGCTTCCCTGTATCTTGCTGAATATACCCTTGCTGCCTGCAGATCTCTCATATCCTTCCACTGTAGTGCTATCTGGTTCAGTTTTGGTTTTTTGGTGTTTTTTTTTTTGGGGGGGGAGCAGGTGGATGTTTGATTTTTTTTTTTTCCCTGTTTGTTTTTCTTGCCATTTCTTGCTTGTGGCTTTACTTGGTTTTCTTCCCATCAGAGCAGAGGGTATAACACCATCCCATTGTCACCACTTCACTGCCTTTTGCTGTCTTGGATTTGTGCACCAGACCCTCACCTTTACTTCTCATCTGCCCACTCAGCTCATTTCCTGAGGTGGAGCCTCTGCTGTTAACCTGCTCTGCTTTCACTGTGATTTCTTCTTTTTTCTTTTCCAGCTTGTGGTCAGAAAACCTGCAAATACTTATTCTCTCTGCCTGCCTTTCTTCCTCTTCCTGCCTGCAGCTTCTCAGATTTTGCTCAGAGATGTCTGTGCCATAGGCCTGGAAAGGGGAATGTATGTCTGGTTCACAGCAATACCAGCATGGATCAGGGGGTGTAAAGCAGCATGGAGAGTAGCCAGCCACTCCTCCTCTTGAGGGCTGGCTGCTGCCATTTGTCTCTCCTGGAGATCTGTGAGATTATCTCAGGTGTTTTTCTGATACCATGTACTAATGCAGACCATGTTGCAGGGACTCAGTATGTGGCATGACAATTACCACATGGTGTGCTATGGAATTACTGGGGATCTTTAATAAATGTGCATAAGGTTTTGCATCATCCTACAATAAAGCTACTGAGGGCATACACAAAAATGCATTTTTTCCTAATGTTCTGTTGCTTAATGCTGCACTGGAGGATACAAGTGGAGGAAAAAGTCTTCTGTGCCTCTGTCCATGTGTGAGGCAAGGTCTCCTTGTGACTTTCAGAGAGTTACTACTGGATCTTGTTGCCATGTCACATTTACACACAAGTACCTCTTTCTCTATAGACTGTCTGGCAGGACACAGGATGTGGTCACTTTCAATATATGTGTGGTTTTGGAGCAGTAAGCCCCAAACCCTGTAGGGACTCAACAAATGTTACTACTCATACCAACTAAATATAACCAAAGCTATGTATTATGTGGCATCTTTGGTTGCCTAGAGTATCCTTGGGACAGAGGTTATTTCATCAGTCATGAATTATTACATTTATGTTCAGTTTAAGTACCTGTGTAGGCAGTTGGCTGCACCTGAAATCTGTGTAATATTTCTTGAAGTGAAATTGTCTCTACTAGCAAATCCTGCACAACTTTTTCTCAGTGTGTATCTGAGGCAACAGAGGCAAGTTAGAACACAGGAAATTCTGACTGAATATAAAGGAAGAACTTTTGCCATGAAGATGGGCAGTGGCTGGACCAGAGATCTTGGGAGACTGAGTTATCTTTCTCTTTGGAGATACTAAAAACTTGACTGGACAAGGTCTGGAGCAACCTACTTTAATGGGGCTTAGTTTAAACAGTCAGACCCTCGAGTCCAGAGGTCCTTCCCAACTTACCTCATTCTGTGGGGCTTTTCAGCTGAGCTAAGCTGTGCCAGATATGGTTAGACTCTGGATGAACTATTGTCTTTGTACTGGAGTTGAATTTCTCCATATTGTTTTCTTCAATACAGGCAGTGATCCAGATGGACAGAGGAGTAAGGCGCTTGGAGCCATGGAAGATCGCAGTCATTGTTGTGTCAGTGATAGTAGGCTTAGCCCTCATCATTGGCTTGATTACATTTCTTTTGTGCCACGGTAAGCGCCCTGCTATTTTGTTATGACAATCTTTCAGGAATCTGCTGTGTTTCACTTGCTACTGTGGTCCTGCCAGATGATTTAGGCATGCAATTTACCCCTGGTATAAAACTCACATGAGAATTTTCAAAATGTTATTTGAGAGCTAGATTGATCTGAAGACCTGTAAGAATACTTAAAATGTGCTTTACTTGAAGCAGGGATTTCAGTTTTAATCCTCCTTTTGTTTCTTGCCGTGGTGTTTCCACTGGTATCCGGTGTCTCCACTGGCTGACAAAAGGATAAATGTGTTCTGTGTACGCCAGAGGTGTGTCCAGTACTCAGGTTGCATAGTAAGCTTAGTCTTGAATAGGGTTTTTGCTCAACCTGGCCCTTCTAGCTGAGAATATTCCAGAAAGAGAGAGGGAAGAGCTTTAATATTTTCAGAGCTCAGAACTCAGTTCTGGTTGCCAAGAGCCCAGTTTCAGTAGCAGATCATAGAATCATTAAAGTTGGAAAAGATATTTAAGGTCACAAAGTTCAACCATCTTGGCTCACGACTTGGGGACAATTAATTTCATTCCCAGTCACTTGCCTCATGAATGAAGTTGAGTCATTCCATTCCCAGCCTCTGAGATAGCAGTGTGAGTTTTTTTAAATGCTTTCCTGCTGGAGTGGAATTAATCATGTGGCTATCTCAGCTCACCAAGAGTCAATGAGGCCATGGCTTGCACTAGGACACCAGAAGGAGCAGTGGCAGAGCTACAGCTCAGCTTTGCTTTTTGCCAGCTCTGTGTTGCAGGGCTCCTCTCTGCCATACACCCAAGAAACAGATTTTAAAATTAACTCAACCACAGAACAGATGCAAACAGCTCTGCCCCACATGCCTCTCAGAGGGGGTGGAATGTGACAGAGTGCAGCTAGGAAGGAGTGGATGTGTCTGAGTCAGAAGGGCTCCTTTGTCTTGTGCTGTGTTCATCTCAGGCCAACAAGAAGATGGACCCCAGGGCAATGTTGTAGTGGGTGTAATTTGGAGCTCCTTGGGATGGTGCTCAAAGAAGAAATGAGCCCTTAGATGGTCCCTGGAGCAACAGGATGGTCCAGAACACCCTTTTACCAAAGTGCTGCTAAAGCTGTAATTTCATAGTTGACAGGATCACTGCCAGGGCCAGGGACCCTTGCTTGTGCCAGGTTCTGTGAGATACTGTGCATCTTTGAATTGTACTAAAGGTGATCAGCTACCTTTCCTTCTTTTTCTCCTCTGTAGATCAAGACAGATATTACGATGCATCTTTCCTAATCACCAATGTGGACTATAATCCTCAGTATGAAAGGCAAACTACAGATGAGTTCAGGAACCTAAGTGAAGATATTGAAACCATGGTAAACTAAAAGCTTCTCTCCTTACACCTGCCCTATGCTGAAGAGCTCTGCAAATGTGTAATTGAAAATAGAGTCAGAGGTGATTGTACCTCATCCCTACATGGCTGGCCTTACCTCACACACCTTGCTGTTGTGGGTTAAAGATGCATAGCTGACTATGCACATGCAGATGGTAAGCACAGGTGCTGTCTGCTCCACAAGCCCTGTGGTGGAACTGGCAAGCACAGAGCAGAATGGATACGAAATCAGCCAACTCAGCTGTTTATTTTGGATCTCCATTCCCTGATGGAAATTTGGTGGTAGCTTTGGTGTAGAAGTGGAGATCTGAAGGCATTTTCATGTGTTTCTGAGGCTCATGAGACTGTTATATTGTAAAAACAAACATGTACTTATTGCCGGTGTATTTTAACACACTGTTTTCTTTTAACAGATATCTGAAGTATTCAGGGGGTCCTTTCTAAGTAAAAGATACCTCAGGTCCCACGTGGTCAGTTTAAAGTAAGTACTGTGAAGGCTAGGAATAAGCAGGGATGTGCTAAATACCTTTTCTTCCTACCTGTTGACAATATGGAGCATTCCTGGTTGCTTGGGTTACACCAGCAGGGTGACTAAGCCTTGTCTGGTTGTTGCTGTCCTCTAGTGCTCACAACACTGAGGACTCATTTACCCTTAGAGGTCAGCAAGGAAGAGAAATTTGGCTTTATAATTCTGCAGATTGATTACCATTTTCCTAACTGTTCCCAGAAAATTCCCTCTGATCACTGTCGTAGCAAGAAGCTTTTGCTCCCTGCTGACATGTCATCATCTTCCTTTACTTGAGCACAGAGATACTATGTGTTCTGGACATCTGTGCAGACCAGATCTCATATAAAGAAGGCAGGCAGTACAAAGCAGAACCAGGAGCATTAGTAGGCAAGGAGAACGACACCATTTGTTTTTGTTGGTTTGTAGCCCAGATCCTCTTGGAGTGCTTGCATCTGTTGTTCTGGTATTTAAATTTCCCTCTGCTGACAGTGAAGCAGCGACCTGGGGTCAAGTCAACCGTGTGTTACTGAGAAGGCTGAAAGCAATCTCGACGAACCTGAATATTGACCAGTCTACCATTACACTCACAGGCAAGTGCCTTAGGTTTGTGTTTTCAGTTTGGCATTTGTTCCTCACACTTGGCTGTTCTCAGCATAATGAGTTTCACCTTAATATGCAAATATTCTTGTATATTCTTGTTTTCTTTTTTTGTCTTCTCAAAATTGTTTGTTAGGCTGACAGCATGGGAAGTTGGAAGACAGAACATGGAAAGAACTAAAACATATTGGCACTGATTTATGGGTGTGAGCTCTTCTCCGTGCATCAGAGGCTTTTCCTGTGTGACTTGGTTGTGTTGAATGAGATAGTCCCCCTCAATTCATCAAAAAAGGTCCAGCTTTGTGACCATGGGTTCACAAAAAAGTTTAAGACATGCAGTAAATTGAATAAGAACCTTTATAACCAGGCACTGAAATACAGAGTCCTCAAGCTATTAAAAATACAGGGCTGAGGTTGTTCCCTTCTCTGTCCTCTGACATTTCCTTTGTCATTTGACAGATTTCTGTAGCAAGTATCCATAACAAGATCCCCAGGATAAGGGGCAGTAATCCTCTCTCATGGATCTGTTGTGGATTGTTACCTGACTCTGACAGAGGGGTTTTTGTAGGAAAGAAATTAGAAATGTTGCAGTTTACCTTCAGACAATCCCAGCACTGAGGACTTGTGAAGACTCATCTGACCACCTTGCCACACTAAACCTGAACAAAGGCCTGTAGGCATTTGCTGGTGGCTGTACACATTGTACATGTAGATGTAACTTGTACCCACTTGCAGTCATCTGCTGCTTTTGTTAGCTCTGAGCTGAGGCAAGAAATGTGCATCCTGTAGTCTTTCAGTGAGGAACAAAGGCTTAGCTAAACTTCTCTAACAGAGCAAATTACTAGTTTTTGTACTGTCACTCCAGGCAGCAATACAAGCTATTTAATTGTTGTATCCTGAGTACAGGGAGAGAGTCTGGACTGGATCACAATAGCATATGAGATAAACTTACTGTGGTCTTTGCTTTTCATTCCAGAGTTGAACAAGGAAAAGGGAGATAACCTTTTAAACAACTGTAAGTACAAATTCATTATAGTAAAGATCCAAGGACACAGTGCTGGAGGTTCTGTACTTAGAAAATCCTTAACTTTCATGATACAACTTGAAAATAGAATTTGTTGCAGATACTAGAACAGCAGACAGTGCATGAGCCTGGGGAGACTTCAGCTCATTTCCTTGCAGTATTTACTGGCTCTATACATTTGTAGAATCAAACATTCTGGCTTGGTGGTGGGAAGCACTTGCTTTAATGTTGGTTGTTGGAAGTAGGGGCATGTAGTGAGCTGCTGTTAGCAAGCTTGCAGAAGGACTACGGTTTTGCTGTGGGCCATGATTCTTGCTGGAGTCCTTCAATAAACATTTTCCCTCCACCCTCCTCCTCCCTGAAGAAAGATTTGGCAGTAGACGTCTGTCAGATTTGACCTAAACTTTAAGGAAAGACCGGAGGGTGGGAGAGGGAGAAGAGCTGTTCACACTCAGAGCAAGACAGTGGCACAGCCCCGGAGAGTGACAAGTTCTCAGTCCTCCTGTTGTGCTCTCCCTTGAGGTCTTAGAGCTCCTCAGGAAACTGGGAGACAGGATAAGTACCCTCCCAGGGCACTCCATCAGTCCACTGCATGCTCTTGAAGACTTTGCATGTTAGCTTTCCATCTTCAAATGGCCTCTGAGAATTAACTGGTTGGAGTCTAACATTTTTCAGCTGATAATACCTGATTGTTGGCACAGCGGCCAAGGCTAATCTGGAGGTGACCTGACAAAATCCCTTTTCTTTCAGTATCTCAGATACACAGTTTTCAGGTCCCATGGGAATTCATATGGGCTTGTGTGTCTGAAAACTGGCTTAATGAAAAAGTACTGACTCCTCTACCAAACTTCTTTGTTTACCCTGCATGTATCCTGAGACACTTGTGACCATGGCACTTGGTTTCCCTGCTTTGGGCTCTCTCTTGATGGAGACTCCTGCCCTGTTACACCTGTGCCTGCAGCCATGAGGGCCTTCAATCAGCTAAAGCAGAGCTACCTTTTCTCTGACAGGCTGTGGAATACGAAGACAGACATCATCCTTCACAGGAGTGGAAAGGATAACTGGCGGGCAGCATGCACGGGAGGGAGAATGGCCATGGCAGGCGAGCATTCAGCTCGATGGGACCCATCGCTGTGGGGCATCAATCATCAGTAACACCTGGCTGGTGACTGCAGCCCACTGCTTTAGAGGGTAAGGCATCAGCACCTCTCATCCTACAGGCCTTAGGACTCTTGGGTGCTCTGACCTCTTGTGACCCTCTCATATCTGTATCTGCTGAAAGATAATGAAGTTTTACTCTTCCCCTTTGGCAAACCTGGTCACATCGCTTTTGAATGCCTAAATGGAGACCTAAGCTCCCTTAGGTATGTTGTTTTGTGTGGCTCTGGCATAACCTCAAACATATTTCAGAGTAAGAGATCCTCGGAGGTGGACTGCCAGCTTTGGAATTCTGCTGAGACCTCCAAAACAGAAAAAATTTGTCCGGAGAATTATTGTTCATGAGAGATATGGTGACCTTGTCGTTGATCATGACTATGATGTGGCTGTTGTGGAACTTGCCACTCCTATTGAATTCACAAGTGATGTGCACAGTGTCTGCCTTCCTGAAGCATCTCACGTTTTCCCAGACAACAGTTCCTGTTTTGTCACTGGCTGGGGAGCTTTGGAGAATGATGGTGAGTGTCTCTTGCCTCCCTGTGCCCTGTCACCCATGTGCCTGAGAAGACTGATGTTAGTTTTATGGGGTTTTTTGTTTATTTTGAGTTCCTCAGACTTGGTATTTAATAGGTGCATGTCCTAGTGAGATACCTTTGGACTTAATTGGCTGCTTTTTTTTCTGATTTGGTCAGTGGATCAGAAATGGGGGGGAAACCCTGAAGGTTAGTCTTACAGGGTTTAAGAGCAGCTTTTCTTAGTTTTTGTATATACAGCACTGGTTGAATACATTTGGTTCTCCAGTCCCTCTGGGTTTAGCTCTGACATGAGTTCTTCTGCTATTCAGATGTTTTGCAGATGCACCATGACAATTTTCATCAGTTTTTCTCTCTTTGGTCATAAGCAAGGCTTCATCCGGTGATTTGAGTGAGCTTCTTTCAAATTGGTCTGTGTCGTTGAGGTTAGAGAGGATGGGACTATAAATCTGCTTGTGAGAGCCACTGACCTGTTTAGGTTGTGTTTCATGGGAGACCCTTGGGATGTGTAGTGATTGCCTAAAGCAAAGCTGCAGTTAATCAAATGGGTCTTTTCAGTGATAGCAAGGACACACCATGTAGCCTACAGTTGAATGCAGCACTGAAATATGTGAAAAAATCCATTTGTCCATTATGCTAAAGAGCATCTGGTGATGATGAAAGATGGATAGGAGTTATGTTTGGGAACAAGTGAAGGACTTTGGGAGTTGGGGTGGGGATTAACTTTCTTAATACTGAGACATTTTCTGGGTAGCTTCCATAATTGCCTGTGATGGCAGAAAAGTGGCAGGAAAAATTTGCTATTCCTAATCATTGAGGTTTTTACCTGTCTACAAATTCTAATGCCATTTCTCCTTCTAGGCTATAGTGTTAACCAGCTGCGACAAGCAGAAGTGAGAATTATAAGTACTGAGATTTGTAATAGGAGACAAGTGTACGGTGGAGCGATAACAGCTGGAATGCTGTGTGCTGGATACTTGGAGGGGCAGGTGGATGCTTGCCAGGTAAGTCTCTTCATTGGTAGAAGTAAAATGGAAACAGGTGGGGTGGAAGGTGATGTTTTCTGGAAATAAAATGTACTTTGGGCAATCTTAAGTTTATGAGTTTCAATATGTTGGTAGATACAAATGAAGGCTCGTATGCTGGAGTCTGCACTTCAGTTTGCATGAAGTTTATATACAATGCAGAAGTGAGAGAATGCAGATGGGAGGGTATGAATTAGACACAGGCTGTGATCCTCAGTCTTGTCAGTAAACTGTGTGAAACTTGAATTATAACTGAGGTCTACAGAAAAATACCCACCAATTGTAACAGAAGAATTTGAGCATTGCAGTTTCATGACTGTTTACTTTTTTTCTGTCTGTTGACATTTTTCTCCTTAGGGTGACTCTGGTGGGCCACTGGTGCATGCAAATTCCAGAGGAATCTGGTATCTTGTGGGAATAGTGAGCTGGGGAGATGAATGTGGCAAGCCAAATAAACCAGGAGTATACACACGAGTGACTTACTATCGAAACTGGATCCACTCCAAAACGGGCATCTGAGACCTGGAGCAGGTTAAGTTCTGTGGGCTGTGTACAGCTATTCCCCTGACACATCCTGCTCTGTGGTCACCCTCTAAGCAGCTGCTGGCTTAGCTTGTGGTCGTGTATAAAGTACCTGTAAGCTTGGAGCAGTCTGGGACTTGAAATTGGTTTGGCCTACAGCCAGACAGGAATGGACTTGATCCATGTGACATTTGTTTGTTCCGGAAGTAGTCTGTCAGAGGGACAACTGCCTTCGTCTATATGCAATATATTGACCCTTTTTTCTACATGGCCACATGTCTTGGCCCCAGCTTTTATACCCAAGCAAAGTGTTTGAGCCCAAACAATCATCTACCAGCATCCAAGACAAGCTATAACTGAAACCTGGCCCATCCATTTGCTGTGTGCTCACAAGGCCCATTCTACCCATAGAAAAGCTGCAATCCAGGCCCTGACACCAAGGCTGCTCTACTTCTGAATTCTTGAGCTCTTTCCTGCATCATTCCAGGGAGTGCACTATAATGAAGAATGGAAGATGGCTTAAAGCCAAGTCCTGGTTCCTAATATCACATTAGACTGTTAAGTGAATAGAGAACTTTTCCTTGCCTGAGAAAGAAATTAGTGGAAAACACCAGCTTGTGTCAGCCTTCTTTGAAGAAGTGAACGTTTGCCTGCTCATCATTTCATATAAACAGTCTCTACCACAGCATTTGCAAGGGGAGTGATTGCTGGACTTAAGACCAAAAACCACCTTATGTTCATACCGGTTGTTGTCGTAGAACAATATTTGGCTGAATTAATTTCCAGTTTTATCTTTCCAGACTGTATTATTTTTCTGAATAAAAGTCCTTTGCCTTTTGTGCAGGGTGGATAATTGAAACAATCTTAGTATGACCTTCATCAAAAAAAAAACTTCTCAAACTTCTTATTCTTGTGAATGCTGTTCTCAAGTCTTTATAGTTTTATATGTGCATCTTTAGCTATATCCTGGGAAAAAAAAAAAATAAAGCTTTTGCATTACAGTGGAAATGTCCCTGTCCTTCAGAGCAGGACAGAACTTCTGACAGACCCAAAAATCTTATATACAGAGCTCTCTCTTCTCACAGGAAGTAAGAATTGCCTGTGTTGCATTGCCAAACTGTAGCTGACTCATTTAATCTCAGCCACACAAACCTCATATTCTCTCTGGCTTCACGTTTTCAGGAGCCCAGGTTTCTGTCAGCAAGGCAGATATCCAATGCTTTCTACAACCCAGCAGCAGAACACACCTACTTTTGGACAGGATGCACTCCTTGGTGTGTCTGAAAGCTTTCCAACTAAATGTGGATCCCGATCCTAACAACAGCAAGTGTTGTGGACTTAATTGCTGAATAATGAGCCACTCAACTGCTCTTTTCTTCCTCTGTGACCAGAAGAGAAAGAACTCAGGAGAGGAGATACTGGCCACACTGCTAAGACTCAGAGCTGGGCCAGCATGACAAGCAAGCAAGAACCTTCTGCCAGGCTAGAAAAGGCAGGCTTTCAGTATGCTCTTAGAAGGGCCAGGGAAAACAGGCCCTCAGTGGTTACAGTCTTAGGATCAGAGTGTTGTTCAAGTTGAGCACCATTCAGCTGGCAAAGTCAATGGCAGCTCAGGGATCCCTCTGGACTGTGCAGCTGGCTGCCAGTGCTGCCCAAATAGAGCAGTGATCCCTCCAGAGCAGTGATAACAGAAGTATTTTGATTATGTGTCCTGTGATCTCTTTGTCAGTCCAGAGAGCAGTTGTTCTAGAGCCTCACTGGAGGTACTGGAATAGTTGGAAGCCCACAGACTTCCAGACTGTTGTGTGTTCTACACTTGTGTATACCTGGCACTTGATTCCTTTTTTCACCTCCAGGAACTTTTCTTGTGGAATGCTGTGAGCTTCAGAAATGAACTTGGTGGTTTAATGTCTACATAGGGAATAAACACAGTCAGACTGGTTCCATAGGTCTGAGCCTAGAAAATTTAATTTCAGCCTCTTCAGCCAAACCTGTCTTTTACATATATTGCTTGTTAGAGGAAGCTTAAAACTGATATATGACAAATATATATGGTTTTTTTTCTTGGTTATGGCATTTGTCTTGCCAGGATGGTGAATGAAATTTTATACTTTTATTCATAAATATAATTAAAAATACTATGGATTTTCAGTTTTCAAACCACTTTAGGCTTGGGTTTTCAAAGGACATAATGGTTTCTCTATCTGCTGGATTTCATTGTAACTTACACACTTCACATTTTTAGGATTGCAAATACCAACTTTCTCACTGATTCCCCAAAATAGATGTCCAAAAAAATTAATTTTGAATCTGTGAACTTCCTAATTTGCTTATTTTGGGTACTATATCAGAAAGCCTTAAGCATGTAGCTCAGTCTCAAGGGCTAGAGTAAATCTTGTTCTCCAAAGTGGGGCAAACAAAACTTTAAAACTCAACTTGTCATTTGCTTAAGGAACTGCCATTTCTGAGGGTCTACTTGTAGAGACACAGTACCTGATCTCTCTTATTGCTGGGTGCAGCCAGGAGGAGTGGGGATGAAGAGGACCTGGCTGTCCTCCACGTGGGGTATGTTTTGGAAGCATTAATTTTAACTACCCTGTGGAGATTCTCCTTACAGCATCTGGAAATTTCAGTTCCAGTTCCTTCTGGAAGCAATATAGTTCACATGCTCTGAGGCCTCTTGGTGATGCAAAGCAGTACTAATAGTGACAATCAAGAAGAGCATTTGAAAGAACAGGCTTCATCCAAGGGAATATTGATATGGCTGGCCATGATGGGCCCGAATCCTTTACTTGTGCTAAAACTACACTGATGTCAACCTTGTCTGGCTTTTCATGAGGGAAATTAAGGAAACCTGAAGCTAAAACTTTTTATTTGGTTTAGTGGTCTAGCAGACTTGTATTTCTTTGAAGCTGCATTTTCACCAATTTGTGAAGCTACAAGCTGCAGTTTCTCTCATCTGTGTTTTTAGAGGAATTAACATCTTCACTTAAGGCAGAAAGGGATATATTTAACTATACAATCATGCATGACACACAGCAATGTAATTTATATGTAAATTTAATAAAATTTGTTAGATTTACCTTCTGTTTCATGTACTTACTAATTTCCTGCATCATGGTAACAGTAAGAGTTGAAGACTCCTCTGTTTTAGAACATTACACTGATTCTATACCATGGATTAATGGGCTGGCTTTTATGTTCTCTTAATCATCTGGTTTTTTTGATTGTTAGCTGTTAGATGAGCAAAATGTCATCCAGACTAGGACGGAATTTACCCCCCTGGCCAGTGGTTACCCAAATTTTTGTGCAGGTAAACAGGTCCTGTGTCATCCACTAGAGGGTGAATTGTATTGTACAAGAGCCTTACGCCCTTGGCAGCTGGTGGAGCTCTGCTTCAGCTCACTAGAGAGCAGCTGGAGGACAAGGCACTGTGTTCCTGCTGCCTTGAAGATGCAGGGATGCTACACAGTTTGCATGCAAAATCTGGGGAGGCTGCAGCTGCTTAAAGCTCGAGGCTTTCAGCACAGGCATCTGCAGCACTGTGGGAGTTTCAGGCCTCTCCCACTGGAAAGCTTGGCATCCCTTTCTCCCCTCTAAGTGTGTTAAATACAGTAGGCTGTGGCTGTGAGAGCGAGGGCTGAGCAGGTTTTGTCTGCTTATCTGCAACAACAAAGCCAGAGCTTTGTCCTGTGGAAGAGTAGACTGGGAAGGCACGTGGTCAGGTATTTTTGGCATCGTGGGTCAGTTTTCTGAGCTTGTCAGCCTTCTTGCAAATAAGATAGCAGAGCAGCAGTAATTTTGAGAGCTGAGTAGGATAAGTATAGTGAGGTTTGCAGTGGCATGCTTTGGTCTCCCATATTGACAGTTCCCGATGATCCTTGTAGATTGAAGGCACTGATCAGATTGCTTCTTGTCTACTTCCTTGTCCATTGTGGGAAACCTGGTACAAATTGTACTGTATTCTGAGCTGGAAGGGAACTACATGCTGGAGTTCATCAATCCTGGCCTATAATACCTAAGCAGGATGAACTTGGAATTTGAGGTTATTTAAGAGGATAAAAAGGCGTTTTAAAGAAACAGCTTTATTGCAGTATTACAGGACATGCCATGTTGGCTATAGATGGGAATGTGGCCATTTGTTTGCAAGAAGAGTAGCCCTTTTGTCACATTTTACTGGGTCCAGTGCAAGAAAGGGAGTGTTAGAGACAGACTTCTTAAGGGACATAATTTTTTATGTCCTTTCATAAAATTAATTATGTCCTTTAATAAAAATATTTTTATGGCTTAGAAAACAGCTTTGTGCTGATTTTCTGACAGAGCCTGTGTTGTGGATGTAACACATAAAGCATTTATGAACATTGAGTTACGTTGGTAACTGTGCCATGACCCAAAGATATGCTCAGCTGGTGTGGTTGTATTTGGCTATGTGGGTGAAGTTTCTGTCAAAGGGTTTGAAGTGAAGAACTGAAGAGAAGAATAATTCTTATGATTTTTTGTATGCATGGCTAAACAGCATCCTTCTATAAAAGCTGTCAGTATTCCATCTTCCTGGGTGTCTGATTTATTACTGCTGCAAAGAAGACTTTTCAAAATTCATCTGGTTAGAAGACTTCAGAAACAAAGAGAACAAATGGCAGTTAATCTGCTTTATCTTTAATTTTATTTCTAATTGAACCCTTTCTTAAATCACACTTCCTTTGAAGAACACTTTGTTTGCCATTCATTGTTTGTGGCTTTTTCTCAGGTGCAAAAAATTTGTTTCAATTAAGAAAGAGAAAAAGCTTTGAGGAACTTATCACCCAAAAAATGCAGCTTTATCTTTTATATAAGCATACATAGGTCTGAGAAATACACGGCATGTCTCCAATTCACTTGATTAGCTAAAGAATTCCTTCCTCCCTGCAGTAAACCAGAGTTGTGCTTGCAGTGTGATGTTTGTCCCTTCTGTGCCTGTGCTTTCCACCTTCCAGTAGTGCCACCTGGCTGTCCCTTACTTGAGGAAGGACTTGCCATCAGCCTGGCATCCAGAGTCTGTTTAAATCTTTGCAAATCAATACAAACAAGCAGCAATTGTCAGACATCTCTGACCTTCTCTTTACTGTGAGAGTACTTGAATATTGAACCAGATTGTCAGGAGAAGTTATGGAGTCTGCATCCTTGGAGATACTCAAAACACAATTGGACACGATCCTCAGCACCCTTATCCATCTATGCTTCTTTTGAGCAGAGATTTTGGGCTAGATAATCTCCAGAGTTCCCTTTCTGCCTCAGCTGCTCTGTAATGTTCTCTCCAAGTGCCTTAGCAGCTTCAGGGAAAGGCCCATGGTCATGGCTAAGGGGTGAGTCCTCTCTTGGGGGGACTGACTGTCCCTGTCACCTGTGTCTGGGACAGCCAAGTGCTCTGGTAACCAGGCTAAAGAAGCTGAACACCAGATCCTTTTCATGCTTGACCGTTAAATACCATAACAGTGCTGTTGTCCCAAACTTGCATGGCACTGTTGCCTTTGAATAATCAATGGAAACAGCAGGGCATGGAAGGGAAAACAATCCATTTTGTGCCACTTAAGAAGGAAGCAATTTACCTGAGAAAGAGCTCAGACAGCAGGTCTCACATGGGGGCAGTGAACCAAGCGGGACCCTCATTTGGCACTCTGCATGTTTCTGTCAGAGGGACTGATCTCCAGAACTGCAGCTGAAAGTACAGCTAGAGTCAAAACAGCTGCAGCATGGAGGTCTTGGACATGATTTTCATTATGTCAAATTTAGTCTATGAAGCCTTGAAGGCTAATGCAGTGTATGATAAATCAGGTGCCCACTGAAAAGAATGCCATGTAGGATCTTGCATGCTGCTGCAGAGTAAACTGAAACAAGTAATATCTGTGACAGAAAGCATCGCAGACTCATTTTGGCTTCTACCAGGCAACTCAGCTGCTGACAAATAATATGAGATCAAATTCAAGCTATGTATTTTCTGTGGATGCAGAGATGTAGGAAAAGCCTTGTTTTGTGTGTGCTGCCATCCACAGAGCTCTAAGAGATCTCAGTAAGTCCCTCTAGCACTTCAGATTGTGTGAAACAATGCTGCTCTTCCTTTCTTCAATTGGAGTTGTGCCTGTAAAAGATTTATT